GCTCGATACTCCACATAGCCCTGAAGGTTGCATGCGCGGTATTGTGTTGTGTCGTCGGCATTGTGTGTGTGTGGACTGCTTGGAAGTTTCTGTCGTATCTATAGAAAACTTGCGGTGACGCAGCAGTGGTCCGTTGATTGAGCCACGGTCTCAGGTGACAAACCCCTGAGCTTTATTTTCATGGTTGCAACGCCTCCCCCTGCCCTCATTTTCGTTTCCACCGGCGGGACCCCCTCTCTACTTCCCTGCGCCGGGCGGGAGCAGGTGCTATCGCAGCAGCCGATCTTGTTTAGAAGGTTTAAAGTCCTCAGGCGGCTGCTGTCACAGGAAGTGTGCCCGCTCATACTGCAGATCCTCCGGTGAGACGTGATGACACTATAACTTTTACTTTTGAGTCAGGGCTGGTTAGCCTTAGGCTCAACCCTCTAGCCATGTAGGCTCTCCGTGAGATTCGCAGCAGTGTAGGGTTTTGCCCCCGGCCCTAACCTGTCGCTCGTTAGGTATGTATATCGTAGCGTAAGCAGTCCACGAACACCAGCGCAAGTATGGTGCCTTGAATGTACCCGATGGAATCGGTTTCACTGCAGCGCAACGCGTGGCGCAGGACCTCAACTACTACACGCATTCTTGACGGAAGCCAATTGACCAATGCCAAGGCCTCAGGCAGCAGCTCAATTTCGCGACCAACTCCAGGGACATCCAGCTTGTGCTAGCAATAGCACATCCAGCTTGGCGCTAGGTCAAACCAGCAGGCACACCGGCCTACCCAACAAGCAAAGCGAGCGTGACACCTTTTTTTTAGTTAGCGTTGCCAACGCCTCTCTCGTCGTTTTCGCTTCGTAATGCTCCGTCCTTTGCCCTTGCCGGGGGGGGCGCGCGCGCGCGACGAGCGCAGGCGTCGGATGGACTTTCCGTTGCTGGTGCGGCTGCTGAGGGCGGCGAGCACCCTGACGGTCACCTATGGCGACCTCCTTCCGAATGAGGTGAGGTGGTGAGGTCGACTCCGCCGCTTCTCTTGGGACTCTTGGACGTCCGGCGCACTGCAGCAGCATGTAGCATGTGTGCGATTTGACCCCGTGTTCTCTTTTGTATATGTGCATTGAATCCTTCTTGTTTTCATATGTACCGTGTATGACACAATATAACACACCCCCTGGACCATGCGCCCCCCCCCGGTGTTTGCCATCGGGGTTGGGTTTTCGTCGCTTGGCANNGTACGGTAGCCTGCGTATGAGAGAGGTTTGTTCGGAATTTGGTCCGTGTTGTTTCTTCATGGGTATCCTTTATCTTGTGTCATGTACGGTAGCCTGCGTGTGAGAGAGGTTTGTTAGGGATTTGGTCCGTGTTGTCTCTTCATGGGTATCCTTCTTTTCTGTCTTTTGTTTTCCATCCCGGGTGCGGCGCTCGTCACCTGATATGTTTTTCTGTGTGGCGCGGAGTAGCGGTTTTCGAATGGGCTGCGTGGATGTGTTTTTTCTTGAGATTTGAGTCCAACATCTTTCTCCCTCCCGCTCTCCCTCCCTCCCTCCCTCTCTCCCACCCTCTGTCTGTCTCTCACTCTGTGGTCTGTGTCTCTTACACACTCCCCAATACACCTACCCGATCGATCTCTTCCTCCCAGGCCCACGCGATTTTGTCCACCATGCTCGGTTCGCTTGGCACGGGTCTCGGCAGCGAGGTCGATCATCCAGGTGAACAAGAGCCTAGGTACTGCTGTACCTGCCGTTATTGAAACTGTCGAACACGCAACGTCCCACACGCATGGACGGTATCGGTGCTTGATGGATTAGCCTCGCCCCACATCACCAAGCCGATACCGGTGCCGATACCAGTGTCGATGCCGTGTGGAGAATTGGAGAATTGGAGAATTGTACCCTGATGCAGAATTCGCCGAAAGCCATTTTTTGGCTCCTGCCGCTATGTCGCTGTTGCTACCTCGGCGGTCCAAATTCACCCCTCCGGGGGGGGGGGGGGGGGGGG